GGAGGAGGAATAGGAGGACGAGGAGAGAGAGCGAGAGAAACGGAGAGATCGGCGCCGAGCCGAGCGAGGGGGGGAAGGCAGAAGGAGAAGGCCTCCTCAGAGGGCGGCAGGGCTGCGCAGCAGGCCTCCAGCCTTTCGAGGGGGTCGTCTGCCTCGGGGGAGGCTCAGACAAAAACCTCGGGAGCCCGGAGGGCGTCCGGGCCTTCTGGAAAGGCCCGCCCCCGTCTCGCTTCCCCCCCGGGGCTCGCCGCCCGCCGACCAGAGATCGAGGAGGGGGTGAGGAGGCAACTCCTGGGAGACCTCCTCCTCCCTCCTCCTCCGCCTCCTCCTCCTCCCTCCTCCCTCCTCCCTCCTCCCTCCTCCCTCCTCCCTCCTTCCTCCTCCCTCCTCCCTCCTCCCTCCTGGGAGGTCTTCGGAATAACCATTGTTGATCTGTTGCGCGCGCAAATGGAAGCAGAGGTTGCGTCGGCAACGCGCCGAATCCCACAAGGAACTCTGCTTGAACTCTGCTGCGTGCTAATTGCAAGAGGGGTAGAAAGAAATATGGAGGCCTACTCAACCAGACTAATTGGCCATGCAGCCAGACGAACCCAAATTATGGACCCAGGAGTAAGGCAGATCGAGAGTGAATAATAACCCAGAGTTAGCCAGAACGTGCTGGATTTGGTGGCTTCTCGGCCACAGCTATACCAGCTTCGATGCTGCTTCTAACCTCCCAGGAGCTGCAAGGAGCTGCATCATCATCATCATCATCATCATCATCATCATCATCATCATCATCATCATCATCATCATCATCATCATCATCATCATCATCATCATCATCATCATCATCACATCATCATCATCATCATCATCATCATCATCATCATCATCATCATCATCATCATCATCATCATCATCATCATCATCGTCATCATCATCATCATCATCATCATCATCATCATCATCATCATCATCATCATCATCATCATCATCATCATCATCATCATCATCATCATCATCATCATCATTATCCCCGAGAGGTGCTGGCGCCGCGAAAGGTCCACGCGAAGGCGAGTGCTTGGCCGTCCGCGACCTCCGAGGGGCTCCGTAGGGCCGCCAAAGGTCGGCTGGGCAAGACACCCCCGGCCCGGGGGAAAAGAGTCGGGACTTCTGGGTGGCGCGTCCCGAGAAGACCAACAAAAGCATCGGACGTCTGGGTCCTCAGTCTTGGTCCCGGGGCTCAGTGGCCCCGTCGCTTCTTGGAGGCCTCCCCTGCCTTGCCTCCGAGTCGTCCTCCGCCTCCTCCTCCTCCTCCTCCTCCTCCCTCCTCCTCCTCCTCCTCCTCCTCCTCCTCCTCCCTCCTCCTCCTCCTCCTCCTCCCTCCTCCTCCTCTCCTCTTCCTCTTTCCTCCTCCTCCTCCTCCTCCTCGTCCTCGTCCTCCTCCTCCTCCTCCTCCTCTTCCTCCTCCTCCCTCCTCCTCCTCCTCCTCCTCGTCCTCGTCCTCCTCCTCCTCCTCCTCCTCTTCCTCCTCCTCCACCTCCTCCTCCTCCTCCTCCGTCCCGATGCCTTGTCCTGCGCATTCAACATGGACCCCCTGCTGCCCCTCTGCCTCGGCCGGTCTTCGGCCGTCCGCTGGCAGCTCTTTGGCGGCCTTCCCCGGCGGTCTTCGGCGGCTCCCCCCCGCGACTTCGGCGGTCTCCAGCGGCCGTCGGGGTGAGATCTCGACGTGCGCGTTGAGCAAAGGGGCCCATGATCGAACAACGGGCATGCCCCCACACTCGGGAGCGGCCAAGAAGGGGGTGTCTAGGAGGGGGGGTGCAAATCATGACCGGCGGCATGTGCGCGGCCCAGCGGGGGGCCAGGGGCGTAACGAAATAAGAAGAGGCGCCGTGAAATCTGGGGAGATATCATGGCCCACGCCATGATATCCACACCCCCCTAGTCATCACCCCCCGCTTTTCCGCCCCCCGCACACTGCCACTCAACCAGCTGATGGCCGCCCTGTCCAGCGTCCAGGGATCTGCCCACGACAAGCGAGAGCGCACGGCGGTGAGTGCTGTCTGCACGGCGTACCGAACATGCACTGAGCAAGAAGGCAGAGGCAGCAATGAGACCGCAATTGCGAACCGCGCGTGCCTCCGACGCGACGCCGTTCATCATTGCAGTCCAATAACTCAACGCCGCGCCATCGCCACGCAAGCTGCGGTTACAAAAAATTGAGCTGTCTTGCGTGGTTCTCTTTCCCCAGAGATTGCACGATATCTCGCAAGAAAACGATCCCAATTTCGCCTCGTACCCTCCCAAAACAGACTGTCTGCCTGGCACCTCAGTAACCGATCGAAGCGTCAGCACAACCACCAGCCCTTGCCTGGCCCATCCTGGGTCTTTGACCTGCGTGCAGGGCCGCCTGGCCTAGGACCGGAAGGTCTACACTCCAGGCCAAGGCCCAGGGTGGGACTGGCCAACGTTGGCGGTCGTGTATCGGCGGCGACCGCGGGGGGGAAGCGAGAGGGAGAAGGCTTTCTCGGAAGGCGGTGGAACTTCTCAGAAGCCCTCGCGCTGTCTGACAAGTTTTCCGCGTCCTTGGGGGAGGCTTCGGAAACTCCTCAGAAGGCTGGGGGACTTCTGAGAGGGCTCGCCGCTTCTAACTTGCCCTCCCTGCTCGCCGCCGAGTGTAGCAGTGCTGTTTTCTGGCACCTCACTCCTCTGGGTACTAGCTTCGATCGGGCGATCTGCAGGGAAAGCAGACGTGCTGTGTTCACGACGACAGGCTACGGCTGGCACGCAACAACGAGACCCTCCCCTCTGAAGCAAAACGGCCGCGGCCCGCGGAAGTCTCACACTGCCATCCGCAAGGCTCTCACAACACTCACTATTAGCAATGCTCACTCATGTCTTCAATGATAGCCGAGCGCCTCCAAATCCAATCAAATGCACGATCGACTAGTACCACTACGCGCCCGTGCGAAACAATGTGTGATCTAGTGCGATTTAAACTGGCGACGTGCGCATGATATCTTACACTGGTGCGTGACGTAGACTTGGCAATGCCATACTTCGTGCTTCCCTGCCCTCACGGGGGTAAAACGGCCAGCCGTCGCAATCGAGACTAAAAGCATCCCTGACACCTATCTGAATGCATGAGGCGTGCAGCTGAGCACTCGAATCCACCACACTGCATCCGCGCCCTACGCAGACGTACCGTCGCGTCGGCGCCATCCCTCCCACCCTCTGTACCGCATGCCGTCCCGGCTCCGTCGCCAGTGTGCCCCCCTCTCCTCCTCCTCCTCCTCCTCCTCCTCCTCCTCCTCCTCCCTCCTCCCCTCCTCCTCCTCCTCCTCCTCCTCCTCCTTCCTCCTCCTCCTCCCTCCTTCCTCCTCCCCTCCTCCTCCTCATCCTCCTCCTCCTCCTCCTCCTCCTCCTCCTCCTCCTCCTCATCCTCCTCCTCCTCCTCCTCCTCCTCCTCTCCTCCTCCCCTCCTCTCCTCCTTCTCTTCCACCTCCTCTCTCCTCCTCCTCCTCCTCTCCTTCCTCCTCTCTTCATCATCATCATCATCATCATCATCATCATCATCATCATCATCCTCATCAGCAGCAGCCAGCATCATCATCATCATCATCATCATCATCATCATCATCATCATCATCATCATGATCATCATCATAATCATCATCATCATCATCATCATCAGCGTCATCATCATCATCATCATCATCATCATTCATCATCATCATCGTCATCGTCATCGTATCGTCATCGTCATCGTCATCAGCATCAGCATCAGCATCAGCAGCATCAGCATCAGCATCAGCATCAGCATCAGCATCATCATCATCATCATCATCATCATCATCATTCATCATCATCATCATCATCCTTCTTCCTCCCTCCTCCTCCTCCTCCTCCTTCCTCCTCCTCCTCCCCTCCCCCTCTTTCCTCCTCCACCTCCTCCTCCTCCTCCACCTCCTCCTCCTTCTCCTCCCCTCTCCCCTCCCTCCTCTCCTCCTCCTCCTCTTCCTCCGCCTCCTCCTCCTCCTCCTCCTCCTCCTCCTCCGTCTCCTTCTCCTCCTCTCCCACGCTCATCTGCGCTGCAGTCCTCGACCCCACCACGACTTTACTGCCACGCCCCTGCCGTCCGCCCGATATCTCCCCTCGCCAGAGGCGCGCCCTGACGCTCCCCTCGCCCGCCTGGAGGGGGGGGGGGGGAGCCCAACGCAGACCCCATAAAGCCGCCCGCGCGGCGCTGCAGTCCTCGACCCCACCACGACTTTACTGCCACGCCCCTGCCGTCCGCCCGATATCTCCCCTCGCCAGAGGCGCGCCCTGACGCTCCCCTCGCCCGCCTGGAGGGGGGGGGGGGGAGCCCAACGCAGACCCCATAAAGCCGCCCGCGCGGAGCTCCGAAGGTTCATGCCTGTGCCAATACCGGTGTCTTCGCCATGGCATTGGGCGCCCGAGTTATCTGGGGTAACTCGGGTCCGGGGTAACTCGGGCTTGGATTCTCGAAAAAAACGACCCCGAGTTAGCCCTGACCCCAGTGACCCCTGATGATTCGGGGCTCTGATGGCGTGCAGAATGGCGGCCACGGGGAAGGGGGTCCCGAAGGTTCTCGCCGTTCTCGGCCTCCCCCAGGCCCTTCCTGGGCCCTGGCAGCGTCAAGAAGAACAACCGATAAAGAAGAACCAGGTGTCGAGGATCCGCTTCTTCGCCACGACGCTATGTATGTTTATACTCAGACGCCCTCAGAGGAATTCTGCATGTATCTCCAGGGAGGTCGTCGGTGTAATCAGAAAGTCGCTGGCTCTCGGCGGTGATTTATACACCGACACCCTCCCCTCTCCCCGAGGAGCCCCTTCCCCCATGACAACGGAGGCGAGAAGCCAGTCGGGACGGCGAGGGCTATGTGAGCGTCCGCTGGCGATCCACGATGTACGAGACCTCGCCCCGGGCCCCCGCGTCCGACATAGCGCAGCGCAAACACTCCGCGACCTCGCACGCCGTGGCGGCGGCGGGCAGGTCGCAGCATGTGATCTGGAGGCGCGGGGACTCCAGCCGGATCGTCCGCACCACGGCCCACATGCTCATGCCGTACACGCCCTCCAACCTCGTCGGCACCGGCTCCCCTGTGAGGCGCGAGTGCACGCCCTGGGCAGCGCAAAGCAGCTGCGCCTTCGCGGGCGCGCCCTTCAGCTCCTCCACCAGCTGCAGCAACTCCAGGCAATACATGAGGTAGGTCTGCTGGCTGATCGCCGGAGCCCAGACGATGCAGTTCGGGCTGTCCTGCACCAACGACCGCAGCCCGGCGGGGCTACCGCCCGCAGGCCGCAACCGCATCGTGGGGCTCGGCACCTTTGCCTGCAAGGTCCGCTGGATGCTCCTCCGCAAGCCCGCGGCGACCTCCTCGGAGTCACTGCAGCCGAGAGCTCTGAACAACGCCTCGACCTCGTGCGCTATCCGCATCGCATCCGCATGCCGGCCAAGCGCCACGGCGGCGCGGGCAGCCGTGTACAGCGCCTCGGAAAAGAGCGAGTTGAGACAATGGCAGCTCAACAGCGGTGCCCTCCGACCCCTCCAGGGGTCCAAACGCACCAATTTTCCAGGCTGCTTCCACCCGTGGCGACGAGGGGCCCCCCGAAAGCCGCTTGCCGCTGTCTCAACTCGCCTTCCGCGTATCGTCGTCGCCCTCGTCGTCGCCCTCGTCGTCGCCCTCGTCGTACTCCTCGGCGTCGCCGCCGACGGCGTCGTCGCCGCCGCCGCTTCGTCGGCGGGTCGGCCGCCCGCCGCCGCGGAGATGCGGTGGTCTCGACTCTCCCTCCCATAGGCAAGCGCGTTCCACTACTCGCGAAGTAACTGCTCGCAAATGGCCTGGATCCGTCGCGTGGGACTTACGATCCCTTACATCGAAAAGGTGTTAGATCGGACGCTCGCGGATAGGAACTTTGCAAATAGCGGAACAAGCTCAAAGATCCGCGGAGCGCCTGCGCCTCGCCCGGCCGATCGTCCGCGTCGCGCGCCAGCACCACCGCCTGCATCGCGCCGCTGGCCGCCCCGCCCGCGTCGCCGGCCAGCAGCAGCGCTTGCGCGGCCAAGAGTGCCGCCCGCGCCTGGCTGGGGGCGTCGCCCAGCACGAGGAACAGCTGCCGCCCCCTCGCCGGGAGGGCACTGGCTGTGCACTGCGCACCTGCACCGGTGCTGGCCGGGCCCAGACTGGGCCCAGGATCGGCGTATACGGTGGCTTGGGCAGAAAGGCATACGTATATACATGCATACATGCATGCATCCATGTATGAATACATAGGTGCATGCATACTGATGTACGTCCATACATGCGTACGTACATACATGCACACATACATACATGCATACATGCATAGATGTATGTAGATACACATTCATACGTACACACATACACACATACATGCATGGACTTAACCATAAACGCATACACTTACATACATACATACACGCATACGTGCCTGCCTTTCTACCTGCATGCATACATACATGCAGATGTATATAACCAAACATGCATTCAAGTATACATATATATGTGTGTATATGTGCACACGTGTATCTATAAACATATACACATACTTCTATACACACATACAATCACATATACATATATGTATACACACGCAAACGTAAACCCATGGATACATGCACACCTGCATACATACATATGTACAGACACACATATACACACATTCGTACTTACATGGATGCATACATCGAAATATGCATACATCCTCACCTGTATATACGTATATTTATACATACATTCCTACACACCTGGATACATACGTGCGTACACACAGACAGACATGCAGACATGCATGCATGCAGACATGCATGCATGCATACGTTCATCCACACATGGACACGTACTCATACACATACATACATGCACGCATGCAAACATACATACACACAACCGTACACACATACATACATACAAAGGTGCATATCCATATGTACACACATGCATACATCAATACATACATATATAGTTGCATGCACACATTTATGCCTGCAGGCATACCTTCATTCATACATAGATACACACATACGTAGATACACACATGCATACATACAAACGTACACAAATTTATACACACATAGACCAGTGCATGTAAACATACATACACTCGTACCTTACAGGCATACAGACAGACAGACATACCTGTTCGCATGCATACACGCATACGTTCAAGCAGACATACAGGCATACATACATATGCAACCACATACCTACATACGTGCATGCATGCATGCACACATACAGACAGACAGGCATACGTGCATATATACACATACATACACCCATACATACACAAACATGCATGCATACAAACATACACCCGTGCACAACTACACACGTAAACTCAGACAGACAGACAAACAGTAACACAGATACCCATGCACACATACATACACGCATACACCCATACACACATACATACACACATGTGCATATATACTCTTATACATACATGCATACGCCCATATATGCATACACGCATACACACAAACATGCTTGTATACAACCAGGCACACATACAATCATACATACACACAGTATACAGGCCTGCATACATACACACATACATACACACATGCATAGATGCATGCATACATACACACGTACCTGCATATATACATACATGCATGCATGTATGCGTGCATGCGCATATACATACACTACACTACACATACATACACTACACTAAAAATGTGTGTATGTATGTATGTCCGTCTGTCTGTCTGTATGCATACATGGTCGCCCGCATGCCTGCCTTTATGCATGCATGTATGCACGCATACATACACACATATACTCACATGCATATGTACATGCATAAATGCATGCATGCACGCATACATGCAAACATAAACACAGGCACACGTAAACACCTACATACCACCCATCCGTAGTTACATACACCCACACACATATGCATACATACATACATGTATACACAAATACGCACATACACTCAGGCATACATTAATACGTACAAGTATGCATACATACATGAATGCTTACATCCATGCACACATACATACGGACACCCATACATTGACAAATGCAGACATGCAATCATACACGCATGCGTAAATCTATGCTCGCCCCCCCCCTCATGATCACACACGTTCCTTCTTTATTCCTTCAATCCTCCCCCCTTCCCTCCTCCTGTTCTCCATTGTTTTGCTACGTTGCCAGCTGCAGCCCAATCGATTGCAATCCAATCGGTTGCAAACCAACCGATTGCAATACAACCGGTTGTAACGCAATCGATCGCAAGCCACGGGGGGGCGACTTGATTGAAACCCAATGCGTTGCATTCCAACTGCTTCCACCGAAACGACTGCAACCATATATATATATATACAGACATATATATATATAGATGTATGAATATTACAATCGTCCGTGACGCGCTGCATGCCAATCGGCTGCCGAAAGACCCATTAGCTAAATGTTCTTGGCTACGGGCCCCTCAATCAAGATTCCTTCATAGATGTTGCTGGTAAAGCCCCACATCGACGATTCTTTAGTACAGATTCCTCTCTGAGGTTTCTTTAGTACATATCCAGTAGTAAGGATTACTTCATAACGGTTTGTCACGAATGCGTCCCCGATACCAGTTCCGTACCACGGAAACATCATTAGGAGCCCTTATTATGAATTCTTACAACTTAACCACATGTCTGTGTTTCTAGAAGGTTCCTGTGAGAACAAAAAAGACCCGTACCAAGAATATCCGTGAACAAAGGTCCCGTTGTAAAAATCCCCGCGTAAAGATTCACTCTTCTGGATTATGGGGTGAAGTGCCCTTACTGATGGTTCCGTAGTACAGATCAAATCGTAACGATTCCTTAACAGTGGATCTGAACTACAGAACCCTACAAGATGCATTGGTAAAAATAACCCGTACTACATATTCCTAAATGAACCCATGCGTAAATATTCCTTGGAACGGGGTCCTTGGTAAAGATCCTTGGCACAGATGTATACTTGAAAATTCTTGCATTCATTTCCCGTATTGTATGGATTCAGCAATAAAGATTAACCACGAGGGACTCCTTAACGCAGATTCCATGTTCAACATTCCTCCCTCAATACAGATGTTCGGCTTAGGGCTCCAGCGTAAAACTTCCATACTAAAGGCTCCTCAGTACAATGTTCATCACCAAGGATTCCTTCGTCGAGATTCGTGAGTACGTATTCCTCAATAAAACGGCCATCACACAGGACTCCTTCGTAAAGGTTCCCTTTTCGGAAAATCCGGAGTGAAAGGTTCCTTATTACATATTCTTCAGTAGTGGTTCCATCTTCCAGATTCCTGCAGACAGATTCTATATCCTGTACCACGTAGTCATGATTCATGACCAAGGGCTTCCACATTACACATTCCTCAATACATAGTTCTTAGTACAAGTTCGTTTGGTAAGATTCCTCAGTTCATATTCCGTATTCAGGAGTTCTCAACACGTATTCCTCATTGAGGATCCTTTTCGTGCATATTCCTTATTACGGACGTCTTTGCAAATCTTCCTCAGTGAGGGTTCATTCGCAAAAGGTTCCTCACCAAGGATTCCCCAATAAAGGTTCCTCACGAAAGATTCGTTTGCAAAGCCTCCTTCGCAAATATTCTTCCATGAATATTCGTTAATGCAGGAATCCTTGGTAAATATGCGCTGTGATAGATTCTGAAATATCATTGTTTAGTAAAGCTTCCTTCCTTCATATTCCGTGTTACGAATTCCTTCGTAAAGACTTGTCATTCAAAATTGATTTACTACATATTCCTTATTACGAACCAGGAGGAGGAGGAGGAGGTAAAGGAAGAATAGAGGAGCAGGAGGAGGATTGTGTTGCAGACCGCTCCCAAACAAGCTCTCGGAGGTGAGGATTGAGAGGGGGGGCCTGGTGCCTTGGATGAGGGATTCCTAGGAGCCCTTGGTGTGACGAAGCCCATGTGCTTAGCCTCCAGGATGTACTTGAAAATCTGGCATTGCCAAGGACGTTCTGGGCTTTGTTGTTGTCGAGGGTCGCAGCCTTCAGGGCCGACAGTGCGCGCTCCTGGAGCTGGCGCTTGTCGATCCTGCCACCTGCGAGCATCTCAATCCACTCGGCCATGATCGAACCGTCCAGGCCGAGATTCTGACCAAGCGTTGCCACCTCGTCATGCCTAGCATCGCCTCGATCATGTTGTGCATCTTGGTCGCCAGCCACGCCCTCGCTGGAAAGCCCAGCGCCTTCGCGAACAGGGCCCGAAAGATCATCACCACAGAGAGGCTCTGCCGCACCACCGTGTACTTCTCCAGGTACGGGTGCAAAAAGTCTGGTGCTGCATACTCCTGCGGCTCCGCCACCGCAATCAACATCATCACCGAACTATTGCTCAACGATGCCGCCAACCCTGCCTTCGTCAGCATGCGCCGGCGTCCTCAGGGACCGCTCGATGTCGTAGATCTCTTGTTCCTCCTCACGCGTCTCCTTTTTGGTACGCTCCTGCTTCTTCGCCTTCTTGCTGAAGCGTTTCTCCCGCTTCTTGGCCTTCAGATCCGCCTTCCGTTCGCCGTCGCCGATGAACAAGTGCGTGGTGCCTCCTGTGGCGGAGGAGGAGGCGGCCTTGGACACCTTCCCCATGGCCTCGGCGGATTGGGCAACGCCTCGTCACTGTTGGAGGTGGTGCCGGCGTCGGAACCCTGCTCGGACCTGGTGGCGCAGTCCGCGCCGCTGCGAACTTCTCCGCGTAATTACGGGGTCCTTCGGCAACTCAAGATCCCAGGTGGCGGCGGAGTGGGAACAGACTCCATCGTCACGCTGACCTTCAAAGAGCCCTGAGCCGCGGTCTGCAGGAAAATGCCCTCGGTGCTCGTGCCGGTCTTGCGGCGCTTCTTCCAGTGCGTCCGCTGCTCGTGGAACTTCTTCTCCTCCTCGAGTGCGCCCACGCCTGGTGCGCGGTGGCGAGCGGGGAGGCAGCAGGTCGCTGAACGCCGCAGGGCCCGATCGGGCTCCACACGCCTGGAGCCATACTGGCAGTGTAGGAGGGCGCTTGACCTCGCGCAACCCCAGCTCCGTACGCACCAGCATGACTTCCTGCCCTAAACAGGACTGCGAAGTGGGCGCACGAGTCGACGACGAAGACGTCGCCATCGAAGGGCGAGGTGCGCTCGACGAGCGAGCTGCTGACGAGATCCGCTGGAATGAAGATGCGCGTGCACAGCACGCTCAGCACAGAGCAGCCGATAAAAATCGATCTCGACTGCCAGTGGTGTGCCTGCACGCGAAGCACTGCCCAGCGGCAGCCCTCAAGCCGCACAGAACTATGTCTGGTCCAGCGCCGCGCCCTCGCGCACGAGCCCAGGCCTAATCCTGGCGGGGCCTGCCAGTTCGAGCCGAGGAGGGTTGAGGGGGAGCAGGAGGAGGAGTGAGGAGGAGGGAGGAGGATGAGGAGGTCGAAAGAGTGCTCCAGAAAGCTAACAAAAACACACACAAACAACGATGATGTCGGGGGAACTTCTGGGGAGAGGGGCGGCCAAGGTTCTCCAAAAATCATGTTTTGTTTGTCTTGATTAGTTTTGTTTCTTTTCTGAAGATTTCCTCTGGTTTTCGCGAGTTCGCTGATTCCGAGGGGGAAAGATGAAGAGGAGGAGGAGGAGGAGGAGATGAAGGGGAAGGGGGAGGAGGAGGAAACGGAGAGTAGAGATATCAATCGGCGGCCGCGGTAGAGAAGAACATGTATGATCATGTGGTGGGCTGTCCAAATATTCATACACTTGTACATTCTGCATGGACAAACCCCTCCAGATGGCCCACACACACACCCATACCTTTGTCGACGGTCCTCCCCGGCCCTGGGGCACCTTTCGAACGACCGCCCTCGCGCCGAACGATCGGCTGAGACGCTTTTCCTAAGGTTTTCGACAAGTTTTGACATTCTCGTCATTCTGGACACCCTGCTGCATCCCACGAAGGCCCAAGAGGCTTCCGAGATCCTCCCAAGACGGCCCAAGAGGCTTCTAAGACAGCCCCGAAACGGCCGAACAGAGCCCCCAGACGCCCAAGTTGGCTCCAAGACGGCGTGCAGCGCGCCCCACAGACGCCCAGGGGCGCGCCCAAGATAGCCCCACGGGGCACTCGATGGCCCCAAACGCCCTCAAGAGTCCCAAGACGGCCCAAGAGGGCTCCGAGACGGCCCATGAGAGCCCCAAGACGGCGAAGAGGGCCCCAGCGGGTCCCACAGGGGCCCCAAGCGAGCTGCAAGAGGGGCATAGGACCTCTGGGCCATAGGAGGCCCCCTGGACGGCCGAAGAGGCCCCCCAGAGGGCTCCAAGACGGCCCCAGCCCCCCAGAACGGCCCAAGAGGGCCCCAGGACAGCCCAACAGGGCCCACAGCCGGTCCAAAACGAGCCCCAAGAGGACGCCCAAGAAAGCCCAAGAGGCCCCCAGAGTTTCCAGAATGCTTCGAAAAGACTCCCAGGAAGCTTCCCAAGGCGCCAAGAGGCCCCCGATTCACGATTCATCTCAGGGCTTCAAGAGGCCCCACAAACAAACGTCGCCAGGCCGCGAGAAACACTACAAACGCCCCAGACTCACGATCCATGTCAGGGGTGTGCCGGCATGGGCGAGGCGGCGGAATGCGAACCTTGGCTCAGGGGCAGTCCGTGCAACTCCCTGTGCGGTACGATCCGTGTGAGGAGACAGTCGATATACGCGGTGGGGCATGGCGTTACGCGAATCTTTTGACTTTGGCCGCACGTGAACTACATCCCTCTGGGACACGATCCGCGTGATGGGTGTGCCAAGACGGTCGGAACGACGCCGTGCGAACTTTGACACTGGACTGTGGAGCTCCCGCGGGACGCTATGTGAACCCTGCCTTCCTACGGGGCCGTGGGATCATCGCTTACATTTTTTCTCAACCTTCACACAGCCCACTTCTCCTCCTCCTCTCCTCCGCCTCCTCCCCCTCCTCCTCCTCCTCCTCCTCCTCCTCCTCCTCCTCCTCCTCCTCCTCCTCCTGCTCATCCTCCTACTCCTCCTCCACCTTCACCCCCTTCCCTTCCTCCTCCTCCACCTCCTCCTCCGCCTCTGTCACCTCCTCCTTCGCTTCGCTCGCGCGGTTTGCGCTCTCGCCCATCCGTGACCGCATCCTGATCCAAGATTGGCGCAGCCACCCCAGCAATGACCACACTCTCCAATACGAGCGGTACTGTCGCCTCAGAGCCGGCCACAACCCTGATGGCAGATGATGCTGCCGGTCGCGCACAAGCCCCATTCATGGATGGGATTGGCGCTCTTGCCCGAGCGCTGGCCACACCCCTGTCTGGGAGTCATACTGTCGTCTGCGCGCTGCCCAAATCCTTCACGAAACGCGGCACTCATTCCGCAGCGCCAGCGAAGCCCCACACTGACTATTGTGATGCCGCTCCACTCGCTCGGTTCCCACAACCCCAATACCGCCCCAACGCTGGCCGCATCCGTGTGTGAGACTGGTACTCTCGTTTGAGCCTCGGCTACATCCGTCTTATGCGAGCGCCACCTCTGGCGCCAGACAACTGGCGACCGCAGCTGCCGTCCCTTCGTGCTGGGCGAGTGCCGAACCTGGCGTTCGGTGTGGGCGAAACGCGTCGGGTCTGTTGCCAATCGGGGCTGCGCCAGGTTAGCCCCCCCGACGTCAGGTTCGGGAATTGGTCGTAGCAACACTGCGGCTACATCCATATGCAAACCGCAGAGTCAATAAGACATGTAGGTGCAAGGATCAAGATTAGAAGGCGAAGCGCAGCGACCCTTTAAATCTTGTGTGTGTACATATATGGACATGAAAAACACAAGACTGCAGTGGCGCTTCGCGCAATGCACCTTGGTCCTTGAAGTTTGGTGTGCAAGCGAATGGCAGGAAGGTCAAACCGACAACTTAGGGATAACTACTTATTACCTTTTCCGGCACGCCGTTATAATAATGATTCGGTATACTTCCTCCATGCTTCTTTCCCCTCCTTCTCGCAATACCCTGCGCATTCTCACCATCCTCCTCAGCTCTTTCTGCGGAGGCTCCTCCTTGGAGAGCCCCTGGGGGCCTCAAAACAATTTCTCAGGCCTCTTTGAAGCCTTCTGGAGGCCTCCCGGGCGTGTTCTGGGGGCCTCTGGGGGCTTCCTCGGGCCACCCTACCTCCAACCGCGATCTCCCTGAACGACCAGGTCACGATTTGGAATGCTTCGGAAGGTGTCTTGGGGCCATCTTGGGCCGTCATGGAACTCTCTTAGGGCCATCTTGGACCCCTGTTGTGCCGTGTTGGGGCTCTTTTTGACTGCCTGGAAGTCCTTTTGGAAGGTTGTGGGGCGATTGTGGAGCCTCCTTGGCGGCTTCGGACGCCCAGAAGACCGCCGTCTTGGAGCGTCGGGAAGCCGAAAAAAGGATAACCCCACAATTCATCAACCCACAAGAAATACATGATGTTTGCCTCTTGGGGCCTTCTTGGGATTGCTCTTGGGACGTCTTGGAGCGCCGTCTTCGGGCTCTCGTGAGCTCCTCCCGAGTCGTCTGAAGGGATGCCCGAAGGCCCAGGGAGGGCCAACTTCGTTGGGGAGAGCTTTTTCAGCGTCTCCGGTCCTAAAACATGGAATACATTACGTATGTAAGTGTGCAATTATGTGTGTATGTATGTGTGTACGTCTGTCAGTATGTCTGTCTGTATCATGCATGCATGCATGCATGCACACGCGCATATATTGATGCACAGATGCCTCCCTGCCTGTCTGCCAGCAAACATGCATACATGCGTGCATGCATGTGTATATATGTTGTCACACACATCTATATACACATACTTATGAACACATACATTGCAATGTGCCTACACACATGAATGAATGCATGCCTGCATGCCTGCATGCCTGCCTGCAGGCATGCATACATACATATATACACATACATACATACGCACATACATCCATACATAGAGACAGACAGACCGACAGACAGGCATGTTTACCTACCGACCTACACACATACATGCAAGCATACGTCCATGCATACGTACATACATACACCCATACATGCATGCATGCATGCATACATACACACATACACACATACAAACATACATACTCGCATATACACATACAATCATACATACATGCATGCATATCTACATGCATGCACACACTCATACACACAGACATACATACATACCGCATACATGCATATGAGCGTATGTGCGTACCTACAAATATATCTATCTACCTACCTACCTACCTACCTATCTGCCTGCCTGTCTGCCTGCCTGCCTGCCTACCTACCTACCTACCTACCTACATACACACACGCATGCATGCATACATGCATGCATACACACCTACATATACACATACTTGCACACAAACTTTCGTGTATACAAGCACAGATGCAAACATACACACATGCATGCATATATACATGCATACGTACAAACACATACGACTTTATATACGCAGATACAGATGTATCTACACATTTGTTTACATATATATATATATACATATATATATATACACACACGCAGATCCTGGGCCCAGCATCGCCCTGACCAGGATCGGTGCAGGCGCCCAGCTGGTGCCCCCCCGGCCTCTCGGCGCACCGCACCGCCTCCGCGGCCCCGCCGGGGCCGCCGAGCAGCAGGGAGGCCAGCGCCACAAGCGCGCTGGCCTCGCCGTGCGCGTCCCCCGCGCGCCGGAAGAGCCCCGCGGCCTCCCTCGCGGCCTCCGCGGCCGCGGCGGGGCGCCGCGACGACGCCAGCGCCTGGGCGGCGGCGTGGCGCGCCCGGGCCTCGCCCGCCCCGTCGCCCTCGCGCCGGCAGGCGGAGGCCGCCTCGCCCGCCTGGCGGCGGCACGCGAGAGCGGCCCTCTAGGCCGGGTTTCGGCACTTGGGCGAGAAATCAAGAATAGTCCAAAAATCTTCAACAACAACAACAAAAATCAGAAATGGTTAAAACAAAATCGTCCCCTGATTATGTTTCTGTTGCTTTGTGAATATTCCTCCTGTAGAGGGACAGGCCCGACTTAATCCTGTAAGCAAGGAGTGGCCTCTGGTGCGCGGGCTACCGGGAGCGCAAGGTGGCCAAGAGCACACGCGTGCAAGCGGCCCCTGTCGCATCGCGCTCAGCGATCGAGGGGGGGGCCCCCGATGGGCCCGCACCAAAGAGTCACTCCGGAGAAGGGTCACTCTTATAAGTGCACGCAGTCGAGCCTGCTCCAGGGCGGCCGCAGCATCCCCGGCGGCCAGGCTGGCAGACGCGGCGGCAACCAACGCCCTGGCCTCCGAGCGCTTGTCCCCCAGCTCCCGGCACAGCCGCTGGCAGGCCTCCGCGTTCGACCTGGCCTCGTCGGGCTGGCCTCTGGCCAGGTGCACGCTCGAGAGGGTGCTGAGCACGCCCACCTCTGGCGGCGCGCACAGGGGCGTAGGGGGAGGGGAGAAGGCTTCTGAGAAGCAGGGGCGCTTCATAAGAAGCCTCCCCCCCCCTTTACCCCCCTCTGCGCACGGCCGACACCTGGCACTCCCTGTTACCCGCGCTCCTGGAGGCCGCCAGGGCCTCCTGCGCGACAGCCAGCGCCTCCTCGGCCGCGTCCCCCTGCATCAGCAGGCCGCTGGCTGCCGCCTCCAGCGCGGAGGCGGCGCCAGCTCGGTCGCCAACCTCCTCCAGGAGCCTCGCAGCCCGCCGAGCACGCGCGACCGCCTCCCGGGCCGCGCCGCGTCCCACGCCGGGGGCCAGCGCGCCCCGCGCCTGCGCCAGCAGCACGGCGGCCTCGCCCTTTTTGTCGCCCCTGGCGCGATGGTGCGCCAGGTCGTCCGTCAGCAGGGCCCTCGCCACCTGATCGGGCCCCTGGCTTACCAGCCTGGAGCGTATCCTTACCCCTGTACTTGGAGGCCTCCCAGATGGGGTCGAGCACATGGGGTCGGAGGACCGCGCCGCATCGCCGGCGCGCCGCATCGCCGGTGCATCGCCGATGCATCGCCGATGCACCGGCGACGTCGGCAGTGCATCGGCCAGCGTGGAGAAAACCAGGCCCCACATCGAGCCGCATCGGCGGCGTGGAGGAATCATCCGACCCCATCTCCTCTGTGCCTTTACTTGGGAGGCCTATAGAACACTTGGCACCACACCGTCTCGCTGCCGATCTGAAGGCTTTCCTCGGCTTCTGGGGGCGCATTCCTAAGGTAGAGGCCTCCTAGATGGGGTCTGATTGGATGGGGTCGGAGGATCGCACTGTATCGCCGATGTCTCGCTGATGCATCGGCGATGCATCGACGATGCATCGGCGACGCACTGGCGATGCATCGGCGACGTCCGCGTGAAGAAAACTGAGCTCCGCATCGACCCGTATCGGCGATGCATCGGCGATGCGGCGCGATCCTCCGACCCCATCTACTCCGACCCCATCCAGGAGGCCTAGATAAGGTAGGGACAAGCTCCAGGCTGGCCACCTGGCTGGTGGCGTAGGCGTCCGCCAGGGTGCTCCGCGCGGCGGCGGCGCCCGGCGCGTCGCCCAGCGCCCGGAAGGCGGCCAGCGCGTCGCGGGCGGCCCGCTGCGCCGCCGGGGCGTCCCGCAGCAGCAGGCGCGCGTTCGCGCAGCTGGTCAGGGCCGAGGCCACCATCTGCCGGTCGCCGAGCTCCTCGAAGAGCCCCGACGCCTCCGAGGCCGCGGCCAGCGCCCCGGCGCCGTCCCCGGCGGCGAGGCGGGCGGCGGCCACCAGCAGCGCGCAGGAGGCCAGCCCGTCCCTGTCGCCGGAGAGGCCCGCCTTCGCCCGGGCGGCGGTCGCCAGAGCCTCGCTGGTCCTGCCCGGGGGCCTCCCGTCCAACTGGCGCGCTCTCAGGAGCGGGTGCCTGGCGGAAGGAGCTGTGGCCGGCGAGGAGTGTCGGATGTGGGGGCACGGGGTGCGCCTCAGCTCCACGTCAGACAAACCCTGTGTCGCCTGACTCCTCCGAGTGATATTATGACTGGCAAGGGCACCTCCACTCGCGATCGTGGTCTTCGGGTCGCCATATCCGAAGAGGGTGCTGTTGCCAGTGTCACGCCTTCGCCTCCGTCCTCCCTCCTTCCCTGCTCCCTCCCAATTATTACCCAGACTCGCTCACACACCCAGACTCACCCCGAACAACACCCCGATTCACCACAATCAGTCTCGCTCATCCAGAACCTGTCACACTCAGATCTCTCAGGCGCATGGCTGAGGCTCACTCATACTCAGGTTCGTTTGGGTTTTATTAGACACATCACTCACTTGCACAATACTATTACACAGAGCCCCGAAATTCATCGCGACGTATAGGCAAAGAACTTTGGCAGCCATCGGGTGGAGCCACCAAGGGGTATGGCCATGGCACAAGCCCGTTCTCGCCTAGATTGTCAGGACCACTCCAGCAACTCGGCTTGATTGGGGGGGGGCGGGGCCTATCTAAACCCCATGGCCGTCGCGACGTCGCAAGTGTGGCACTCGTGACAGGCACTGCGCCGACCCTGCCGGGGAGCCGACCCAGTTGACGAGCGCAATCGCAAGGATGCGAAGGACCCGAGCTGCGAAGGCGGCCTATCTGTTGTCAGAACCCCATGGCCGTCGCGACGTCGCAAGCGTGACACTCGTGGCAGGCACTGCGCCCTGCTGTGCCGTTCAAGAGCCGCGCCCTGCCGGGGAGCCGAGGGGGGAGCCACGGGCCGACCCAGCTGACGAGCGTACAGGGCAGTTTTCAACACATGGGATTGTTGAACATATCGGATTTTTGATACATGACGAATTTAGGAATAAATTTATGCATGAACTCATCATTGTTTTTAATACTAAATCCCTGCATGTTTGATACATGATCCGCACGCGGAGCATGGATTGAAAACGGCCATGTGATCGCAAGGCTGCGAAGGACCCGAGGTGCGAAGGCGTCGACGCCGCTGCCCGCCCACGAAGAGCTGGCCTCCACACCAGAGCCCGTGCCCTCCACGGGATCGGGGGGGGACGGCCAGCGCCGCCCACCCGAGGCTATACAGTCAAAAATCCGAATAAGGACGCGCGGCAAGGATTTCTGAAGCGGCAAGGACCCTTGGAAGCCGAAGTTGGGATTTCTGAAGCGGCGGACGACGAAAACCTCAAGGACGCAAGAGCAAGGAAGAGCAAGGACGCAAGGGTACCCTGAGCAAAGTCGCGCGTCCTTATTAGGGTGTTTGACTGTAGCGAGGCCCCAGGAGGGGCACCGGGAGGGGACTTGCCCAGGGCACTGCAGCAGAAGCGCTGGCATTAGGTCGGGCATGTCCCCACACAGGCGGATCTTGGACAAAAAATTCGAATCATACGAAAGAAAAATTCGAATCACCGAAGAATTCGAAAACAGTTCCCGAAAAATGTTCAACCAAAAATTCAAATCATACTAAACAATCGTCCCCCATAATATCTGTTCTATTTTTGAATATCCCCCCTGGAGAGGGACAGGCCCAACTTAACACTTGCACAAGACCACGGTCGGACGGATCGAATCGGCTCGAGCCTCGACGCATCGCAATGCGCACGTCGCCACCATCGGGCGTCACGTGGGCAGTGAGCGTTGGAAAGCAGATGCGTACGCGCGTGGATGTGCAGCATGGCACGCCGACATGCCACGGAGCGCCATCACTTCGAACGGGTCCCCCCACCTGCAAAGATGCCCGCGCGTTGTCTTTTTGTTGACCAGCCCATGTCCTGCCCAATGTCAGCTGCGCAACAGCAGCGGCCACCAAAGCGGCACCATCCTGGCGACGGCATGCATGCTCTCCATACGCTGGCTCTTCCTCTGGCACTCAGACTCATCATGTTTCACTCTGTGATCTTGCAATCCCCCGTCTTCTGGTCACTACCGACGCCTCCCTCGGTACATCCCATACTGCCGACGCCTCCCTCGGTGCATCCCATCCTGGAGAGGGGATCAGACGGCGGCAACGACGGCAGCCGCCGAAGGCCGCTGATGGCCACCAACGGCCGCCGACGGCTGCAGAACGGGGCGGCGGCGACGATAGAGGAAGAAACAAAGGGTCTGCGCGGAAATCTTGGATCAACGCTGAACGGCAATGGAGGCGCCGCCAGACAGGCCCGGCGTCGATCCGAGAACTCCGCGCGGAGCTCTGAAAACTTCGGCTCGTGATGTTGTTTCTTCTTCGAGCGGCGGCGACGACGACTAAGACTCGTTTAGCCACTCCCCATCCCCACTGGCGTGACCTGGCCCCACTGGCCGACGTACCCCCCTCGATGGGGACACAGGCTGCTCCGTCCCGGGCTCGAGGAGCCTACGTGTTCCAAACTGGAATGGTGGGACTCTGGCCATCGCTCGGACGTCCATTCCCTGTGTTTTTTTCGGTTTCGTGCGTGGTTTTTTCGCCAAATGATCGCGGATGCTCCTCGATGGTCCTCGCCGAAAGAAAAATGCACACGTCCGAGCGATGCCAAGGACTATGGGGCTGAGACGACATTGTCTGGTGGGGACGGGGATAACTTAAACTTGGAGGCGGCCGGGAGGTCTGAACTGGATGCACCTCGGGGAAATCGCTCAAGAGGGGTGGCTCAAGGCCAATCATCTCAAGATCGGTGCCCAGACCCCTCCCCGGGCCCATCAGGTGCACCTCTTCACCCCGGCTGTGTGCTTGAAGGCCCCGGGGCCCGTGCAGCTTTTCACCCCGGCCCCTGGAGGCCAACACAGAAAACAAAACCTTGCCCAACACAGCAGACCCCCGAGCCAGCTCCAGGTCTACACCGCCCTGACTGACAGCGACGACGGGCGGCGCTCGCGGCGGCGGCGACGGCGCCGACGGGGACTCCTGCCCAGCGGCCGCGGCGTCCGCCGCGGCCCGCTCGGCGCCGCGCTCCTCCACGGCGGCCTGCAGGGCGCTGGCCGTAGTAAATTTCACCGAACGGCCCATTTGGCCCCGTAAGCACTGCACGTTCGCGAGATGCAGCAGAGCATTGGAATTCCGCAAGATGACGACGACGAGCGCGACGACGAGCGCGACGAGCGCCGACGAGCGCGCGACGAGCGCGACGACGAGCGCGACGAGCCCATTTGGCCCCGTAAGACCTCCTCCTCCTCTTCCTCCTCCTCCTCCTCCTCCTTCTCCTCCTCGTCCTCCTCCCTCCTCCCTCCTCCCTCCTCCCTCCTCCCTCCTCCTCCTCTTCCTCCTCCTACACCTCCTCATCCTCCTCCTCCTCCTTTTCCTCCTCGTCCTCCTCCCTCCTCCTCCCTCCTCCCTCCTCCTCCTCTCCTCCAGCTCCTCCTCCTCCTCATCCTCCTCGTCCTTCTCCTCCTCCTCGTCCGCCTCCTCCTCCTCCTTGTCCCCCCTCCTCCTCCTCTCCTCCTCCTCCTCCTCCTCCTCCTCCTCCTCCTCCTCCTCCTCCTCCTCCTCCTCCTCCTCCTCCTCCTCCTCCTCCTCCTCCGGGGTGCCCACTCCTGAGGACCAGAGGCCCTCCTGCCCTCCTCACTCCTCACACGGATCGCGGGGTCCGACGGAACGGCGAAGCCTTTGGGGGGGATCCGCCGAAGGAGGGTTATATGTTGTTCGTGGACCATATGCCCCCATCATCAAGCCCACGCTTTCGGTCAGAGTCAGACATGCCTCTTGGACGTGACGAATTACCACACTAAGGGCCTTGGGCCGAAATTTTACACTAAGGGCCTTGGGGCCCGACCCGCTTTCCCCCCCTGTTCTCGCGTGGAGGAAAGGAGGAGAGGAGGAAGGTGGAGGAAAGGTGGAGGAAGGTGGAGGAGGAAGGTGGAGGAAGGTGGAAACCTATATTCGGCACGCCCCTCACACGGATCGCGGGGTCCGACGGAACGGCGAAGCCTTTGGGGGGGATCCGCCGAAGGAGGGTTACGCCGAACAATCACGACCCCTCGCCCCCTCCGCCCACCCTTGCCCCACAAGGATTGCCCGCCCCGTCCTCGAGACGGGCGCATCTACTAGGGCAAGGGCTGGTAGGGTAGGGGGGTCGTGATCATCCGCCGAGTGGGAGCCCCCTTCCTCGGAGCCCCCCTGAAGGTGGCCCAAAGATACCCCAACACGCCTAAGGCCCCAAGATGCCTAGGACGCCTAAGGCCCCAAGACGCCTAAGACCCCAAGATGCCCAAGACGCCTAAGGCCCCAAGATGCCCAAGGCCCAAAGATACCCCAAGACGCCTAAGGCCCCAAGATGCCCAAGGCGCCTAAGGCCCCAAGACGCCCAAGGCCCCAAGATGCCCAAGACGCCTAAGGTCCCAAGACGCCTAAGGCCCCAAGATACCCCAAGACGCCTAAGGCCCCAAGATGCCCAAGACGCCGAAGGCCCCAAGACGCCTGCGGCCCCAAGATACCCCAAGACGCCTACGGCCCCAAGATGCCCAAGACGCCGAAGGTCCTGCAACGGATCGTTCCTCCTCCTCCTCCTCCTTGTCCTCCTCCTCCTCCTCCTCCTCCTCCTCCTCCTCCTCCTCCTCCTCCGGGGGGCGAAGGCAACGGCGACAACGACGGAGCTTGGGCACTCCTCACTCCGACTCACTCCTGAGGACCAGAGGCCCGGGGCTGGGCACTCCCCACTCCTCACTCCTCGCTCCTCGTTCCTCACTCCTCACTCCTCACTCCTCCTCCTCCTCCTCCTCCTCTCCTCCTCCTCCTCCTCCTCCTCCTCCTCCTCCTCCTCCTCCTCCTCTCCCTCCTCCCGCCTCCCCTCCCCCCTCCTCCTCCTCCTCCTCCTCCTTCTCCTCCTCCTCCTCCTCCTCCTCCTCCTCCTCCTCCTCCTCCTCCTCCTCCTCCTCCTCCTCCAGGGGGCGGTGATGATTGTTTTTTTTGTTTTTCTCAGCTCCCACTCCCGCTCCCCGCGGGAATCTACGCGTCTAGCGTGAGGTCCACTACTTCCACAGCGGGAACAGGGCTGCGCACAGTGCTATCGCTGCCACTGCTCACTCTGCTCACTCTGCGCTTCTTCAGCTTGGGCAACCACGTACCAGTCGGGTGCACAATCAACCTGCGCCGAGGGAAATACACGTCCGGGCACGGCTGGAGGAATAAGTTGTTCGTGGACCATATGCCCTCATCAAGCCCACGCTTTCGGTCAGAGTCAGACATGCCTCTTGGACGTGACGAATTACCACACTAAGGGCCTTGGGCCGAAATTTTACACTAAGGGCCTTGGGGCCCGACCCGCTTTCCCCCCCTGTTCTCGCGTGGAGGAAAGGAGGAGAGGAGGAAGGTGGAGGAAAGGTGGAGGAAGGTGGAGGAAAGGAAGGTGGAGGAAGGTGGAAACCTATATTCGGCACGCCCCTCACACGGATCGCGGGGTCCGACGGAACGGCGAAGCATTTGGGGGGGGATCCGCCGAAGGAGGGTTACGCCGAACAATCACGACCCCTCGCCCCCCCCCATCCACCCTTGCCCCACAGGGACTGCCCGCCCCGTCCTCGAGACGGGCGCATCTACTAGGGCAAGGGCTGGTCGGGTAGGGGGGTCGTGATCATCCGCCGAGTGGGAGCCCCCTTCCTCGGAACCCCCCTGAAGCGTGGCCCAAAGATACCCCATGACGCCTAAGGCCCCAAGATGCCCAAGACGCCTAAGGCCCCAAGACGCCTAAGGCCCCAAGATGCCCAAGACGCCTAAGGCCCCAAGACGCCTAAGGCCCCAAGATACCCCCAAGACGCCTAAGGCCCCAAGATGCCCAAGACGCCTAAGGCCCCAAGACGCCTAAGGCCCCATGATGCCCAAGACGCCTAAGGCCCCAAGACGCCTAAGGCCCCAAGATGCCCCAAGACGCCTAAGGCCCCAAGACGCCTAAGGCCCCAAGATACCCCAAGACGCCTAAGGCCCCAAGATACCCCAAGACGCCGACGGCCCTCACACGGATCGTTCCTCCTCCTCCTCCTCCTCCTCCTCCTCCTCCTCGTCCTCCTCCTCCTCCTCCTTCTCATCGACTTGGCTCTCTCACTCTCTCTTAGTGGCCGGCCTGGGCCGCATCATCGCGCGCACTCGAAACCGAGTGCGCGCCGCCCCGTGTGCGCAGGCAGCCGCTCACATGTGTGTCTGGACAGCCTTCCAGAACTTCACCAGCGAGTCGTCGTTGCTCGTATCCATCTGCTTCAGCATCTCGTTGAGCCCAGCCTTCGTCTCTGGCGATTTGTCGAACACCGCCACGCGGATACCGTAGCTGTTGGCGTCGCCCAGAGTCCGCTCGATCACCGCGTATCCCATCGGCATGTACAAGTAAGTGCCAGCAACCATTTTTGCTTTTAGCAGCTGGCCACCCTCCTCCAAATACTTGTCCAGCATGCTGGAGTCCTCCTTCAGATTGCCAGCGACGTGGGACATGAAGTCGAAATAGCCATGCTTCTCAGACCTGACGATGCCAACACTGTCAGCGAACTTCAACAACGAATGCACGCTGGTAGCAATCACCTCCCGGACGCCACTCTCCTGGTAACGGCCGCTCGCGAGGCCCAACCTTTCTGGGCCCGTCAAGGGCGCCATGGCCGCAGTGCATCCGTATATCATCACCTGCATGAAGACCCTCTCGGTCGGCGTGCCCTTCCACAACTCTGGAATACTTGCCGAGTGGCCAACCCCTTCCAGAAGGATCTCGCGCAAGGCATCCTGGCCCGTGCCGTTGTACGCGGTCTGGCCCTTGCCTTCCTCCTTCTGGTGGCTCACAGGATACTGGATCTTGAACACGCCGAGGGCTGCCTTGACACCGAGGCCCTTCATCGCGTCCGTGGCTCGAGGCATCGACTCAATGAAGTGCGGGGCGGTGGCGTCATGCTTCCCGGACGACTTCGCCTTGCTGAAATCTTCGACCGTGGCGTAATACTGCATAGCCTTGATGCAAGCGTGGCTGGAGTCAAACAATGTATTTGACTGGATTGCTTTGGCCGGGCTCTCGCCCTTCTTCTTGGCCGCCGCCTTTGTCTCCGCAGAGGCCGAAGCCTTCTTGGCTGCGAGATTGGACTTTTTGTCCGACCGGTCGACAAACGAGGAGGCCTCGTCAGCGCTCTTCTTGGCGAAGGCGATGAGATTGCCCGCGAGGTCCCTGGATAGATTGCAAGACTCATCCACGAGCTTTATATCGTCCACGGTCTTGGCGCCTGGGACGCAGCATGACCCCATTACGTCGAAGTACGAGATGGGTTGTACATTTTGCACCTGATCTGATTCAAACGGCAATGCCCCGCCGTTGGCCAAGCGAGTTTCTAACGCCTGCTGAAGAACCTTCTTATCGACGAAGTACTTCTGAATAATGGTCAGCTTCTTCACGGCGCCATCCTGCATGGCATCTGGGTAAGTCTTCTTTCCGAAGTCGTACCCCGCTTCCTCGAGTACAGCTTTAACGAACGGCTCTCCCAGGAGAAGTTCGGGCGCTTCAGGCTTGGTCTGCGGGGCGCCATCTGGCTCTTGGGCGTCGGGCCCCCTGTTGCCGATCGCCTGGATGAAAGTCTGCAGCAAGAGGGCCCTGTCCGGCGAGTCGACCTGCTGCGTCTGCTTCTGCTTCTGCTCCTCCTTCTGCTGCATCTCCATCTCCCCCCACATGGCTGACAAGAGTTCGAACCGGCCCGTCATCGTCTGGAGCACTGCGGACAACCCCGGAATTGTACTTGCTGAGGAGCTGTCGGCTCGGCTCTTCCCCTCAGAATCCGTGGAGTTCTGAATTGCTTTCTCGCGAGCGGCTATTGCCAGATTCTTCTTCTCGATCAACTTGTCCCTCACTGAGCTCAGCTTCTCAAGAGCGCGGTTCCGGATCACCTCGACGTCCACGTCCTTCCTCCGCTTCGTTTCTTCTTGAGGCGGCTTCTCGGCGATGGCGGCTGCGATCTGCTTCGAGAACACGTTCTTGTCACCAGGACGAACTTCACTCTGCGACGGCCCGC